GGCGCCCCGTTCCGCCCTCCCTCTCCGCTCCGCCGCGGCGCCCCTCTGGCCCTCCTCTGCTCCAACCCCTCAGCACGAACAGGGTCTCAGACTCTAACCTTTTCTCTCCTTTTCCAGGTTCATTCGATTTCACTGCAGCAGCAAACCAAGCCAAGAGAAGGTAACGCCAGTACCATGCGTTCTTTTCTCCATTTCCGCCATGAATTCTCCGTGTGTAGGTGCAGCCCGAGTGCTGCCACTATGAGTTATTAGTTCCCTGTGTTAACCTGTTCCTGTGCAGGGTGTATCCTGTTCCTGTTCCTGTGCATTGCGACACCCATTACTGACATCCAAGCATTTCTTCAGTGCAGTGAGGATTCTTTGCTCAAACAGCGAATTATCCATCTAGCATCTATCCATGGCGTCTCTTCTTCTCCCTCCTCAGTTCGCTTGCTCCCTGCCATATTACTGCATCAGGTGATCCCTCACTTCCCCGCTGTACTCCCCGCTGCATCTCTTCATCAGGGAAGGAGGTGTTTTTCCTTCTGACGAATCTGAATATGTCGCCATGGAAGTGGCGAGTTGTGGAAACATGATTACGTGAACATTGCAGATTTCTTTCAATCTTGTCTTGCATATATGGTGCTTCACTGGGAGACTGGGATTGCTGCCAACTTGTCTGCTGCATTTTCGGTTTATATTTTCATTCTCATGGTCAGCTTGTTAATCTTAGAAAAAGTAAGACGTTAACATCATCCACAAGTGTGATGTGTCATTCACCGACGATATCTTACCAACGCTGCCTAATCTGAAAAGGCTCAATTGGGTCCGTGTGACCAACATATTCATCTGTTTTAAATGATAACTACTTTATCCCTTTAACCATGAACATTGTCTAATTTGGTCACTCATCAGGGGTCAATTACATTATAAGCCCACCATCTGGGGAAAGAATATGACGAAGACTAAAATGGGGTTGCTTCACCGGAACGTGAGTTTCGTGTCAAAGAAGAGTTCTCAAGATGTAGAGGAAGGCTCAAGTGGTGAAGACAGTGATGCTGAAACCCCAAAGACCAAGAAAAAACCTGCGAAACGTGGAAGAAAGAAAGCCACCGTAGATGCATCAGAAGGGGAAACACAAGAAGCCCAAAGTGATACTGAAGATGCGTCCCCTGAAGAGCCTAAGATAGTTAAAAAGAGAGGTCGAAAGAAAGGTAACGTGCATATATTGCAGTCAAGAGTGCACTTCTTATTGTATATTGGTCAATGGGCTTTATGATTTTGGTAGATCACATCCCTTAGCAATTCAACTTCTCTCCTGTGTCGCAGCTGCTACTACTGCATCCTCTCCGGAGGAGGCTGACAAGCCAAAAGAACCAAAGAAGAGAGGCAGAAGAAAAGTTAAGGTGGCTGAACAATTAAGTGACGATGAAGGGGAAGATCAGAGCAAAGATCTGATGCCCTCTACTGAAATGGAAGTTCACAGCTCAGCCAATGATCTTGAAAGTAAAGTAGAGGCATTGTTATCACAAGATATTGAAGAGGTTGACAAATTAGTGCCTCTTGTCTGCTGCTTTGGACCAGCTAAGTACTCATTTATTCCTTCTGGAAGACCTGCTAAAAGGTTGGTGGATCGTGAGATTCATAGTAGAATGAAGGATATGTTTTGGTCTCCTGATGAATTTGTGAGGGCACCGGGAGGGTCGTCATCCAATGTTGCCCTTGCTCTAGCAGCTCTTGGAGGCCGGGTTGTGTTCATGGGAAAATTAGGCGATGATGAGTATGGTCAAAGTATGCTGTATCACTTAAATGTCAACGGAGTTCAAACTAGAGCAGTTAGTTTGGATCCTTCAGCGCCAACTGCCATGTCCTTAATGAAGGTGACCAGCAGAGGTAGCTTGAACACAAGCTGTGTTAAACCATGTGCAGAGGATTGTTTTCTGCAATCTGATATCAACCCAGATGTTCTAAAAGAGGTAAAGACAAGCCCATCAAAATAAATTTCCAATGACACCATATCCTACATTCTTGTTACTACTCCCTCTTATATTTCTTTACGGAGGGAGTACTTAATATGGTAATTTCTGATTGATGCTTAGTTAATGATCATAAAAATAGTCTCTATGTAATTCACCCGAGGAAGACTTTGTACCTTTATTTTTTAGACAGAAGATGCAGAAATATTTCCAGTTTGTTGCTTTTCAGCAGAGACTTTTGCTATGTTTTTTTATATGACTTGATGAAAATTAGAATTGCATAAAAAGTTAAAAACCTATGTAATAGTGAAGTGCTGACTGTCGCTCCATATACTGAAAACCAAACAGTGAGCACCTAATTGTTTTCCCCCAAATTAAAAGAGCATATCAAAAATTTATAGGGAATAACTAGTTCAAACTTCAGAGGCTAAAGGTCTCTGTGTAATATCCACTCTGATTTTAGGTAAATCAAGTAGTTATTATTTGTTTATTTTTAAAGTGGACGGATGCAGTATGTCTTAACAGAGATATGACCTTCTTATGCTTTTAATGCAGGCTAAGATGTTTTACTATAATTCGTCAGCTTTGCTAGAGCCGACTACACGGACATCATTGTTAAAAGCAATCGAGGTCTCCAAGAAATTTAGCGGGATAACATTCTTTGATCTTAATCTTCCAATGCCACTATGGTCATCTAGTAAGGAGACCAAATCACTCATCAAGGAGGCGTGGGAAGCTGCTGATATCATCGAAGTCACGAAGCAGGAACTTGAGTTCCTCTGTGGTATTAAACCATCTGAGAATTCTGACACAAAAGACGAGAAATCTGAATTCGCACACTACAGCCCAGAAGTTGTTATGAAGTTATGGCATGGCAATCTGAAGGTCCTCTTTGTGACCAACGGGACCTCGAAGATACACTACTACACAGAAAAACACAATGGCTCGGTTCGTGGGACGGAAGATGCGCCGATTACTCCTTTCACCAGTGAAATGTCACAGTCAGGAGACACCATTGCTGCAGGTACCAAATATGATACATTTTTTTCTCTTGACTTGTGCAGAATATGGCACTAATTTCACATCATCGAGAATACATTAGAAATTGTTAGCACAATACTCGATACTTCCTATTTTTACTGTGTGGATAGGGTATGCATTGCTCATTTGTTATAGCACTATTTTTTTTGTCTTTATAAATCTGGATATCAACATGGGAAAGTAGTGGCTGCACCCACTTTCGGTGCACCCACGGTGCACCCATGCAAGAAAACATATCAAAACATTTAAAAAAAATCTGAAACTTCGTGAAAATGATCATCAACAAATATTATGAGGGCTTGCAAAGTTTGGTGGTCAAATAACATTCGAGAAGCGCTCTATAAAAAAGACAAAATTGCAAAATCTGCTCAAACAGTGCACGTACATTTTGACTAATTTTCAGTGATTTTGTCTTTTTTGTAGAGAGCTCCTCGAATGTTATTTGACCACCAAATTTTGCAAGCCCCCATAACATTTGTTGATGATCATTTTCACGAAGTTTCAGATTTTTTCGAAATGTTTTGATATGTTTTCTTGCGTGGGTGCACCGTGGGTGCACCGAAAGTGGGTGTAGAAGAACCACTCTCTATCAACATATGGTTGCTGACATGATTAATGATGATTCATCTTTTATGTGTTTTTGTAATACTCCTGATGTTTGAGTGAACTAAATACAGTTGAGGTGACAAGATGTGTATATTGCCTTTTTTGTTTCAGCCCTGATGAATATGCTGTCGATCAACCCTCACCTGGTGAGGGACAAGGTCTACCTGCACAAGACAGCGAAGCACGCCATCAAATGCGGCGTCATTGATCAGTGGCTGGCCGCGCGGGAGCGGGGATTCCTTCCCAGAGGGATAGCAGAACCAAGCAGCGAACATGAGGAAGCAAGATTCATCACGGAGAGGGAATACCGTACCATCCCCGACGCCATGCAACCCGCGAACCCATCGGGCAGCGAGCTCGCGCATGTCGAGTGAACGGAAGAATGTGTAGGAAGGAAGCCGACATCTGTGCACTATGCAGTGTTTACGTGCTCTTAGTGGGAGCTGGTGTTGAGAAGGATTAGCTTAAACCTGCAGTTTCTAGCCTAGGTTTGTTACAGTGTTCAGGAAGGTTAGTTTTAGACCTGCAGCTGAGGTTAGTATGTTTTTCTTTTTCAGATAGAAGAAACACTAGTAGGACGTTGATGAGGTCTGAGGTTTCCATGGTAGCTGCTGCTGCCCCTGTACTAGTGTTGAAAGCCCTGTGGGTTCATTGTCCTAATACTAATAATATCATATGAAATGCATGTGTCGATCAGGTGCCTGCTGTTCAAATCAAAGTTTGTGCTAGCTTAGTTGTTGTTGGTTGTGTTATGCCTAACTTGGCAAGTATTTGTCAACTGGAACGTCGGAAATGTTATTGCAAAGCTCTTATCTGTTATCTATCATTCAGGCCTGTCACCTCCGCATTCCTTTCATATATGATGATGATCATTCCAAAATCCCAAACCATTACTCGCGTCAAAGTGGAATCGAGACAAGTTCAGTTTGCACACACATGTACATATATACGTACTATATAACAACAGAATATGCACATTCTGGTGTTATCTATCCTGCATATTCTGCAATGCATTGTGTGCCAGAGCTGTGCGTTGAAAGAACGGAACTACATACACCACATTTTCAAGACCCGAGTGCTGAAACAAAATCAAAGTGATGCACACACACTTTTGTCTGTTCGTCCTACTTCATAGCCTACTTCATAGCTCATGCCGGATAATTCTTACCTCACTCAGTAGTAACGAACAGAGTGGTAACAAAGAAACAGTGATAATTAAGCTTCCACCAAAAGCATAGACATACTTAGTACTCCCTCCGTCTCATAATATAAGACGTTTTTTGACACTGCATTATGGATGGAGGGAGTACAACATATACAGCGCACACACATCTTTGGATATAGCATGTTCAACCAGGAACACACGGAATCAACGAGGCACAATGGACCAGGTGACCTTCACCAGCACACAATGGACCAAGTGACCTTCACCAGCATCTTATAGTTGCCGCAAGTGATTTTCTCTTCATCATAGTTGCCGCGCTTTGGAGTAAACTCAACGGTGCCAACACCACTGGTAGCAGCAGCAACGGTCAACAGGAGCGTCTCATCAATAGAGACACTGACCACACGGCGCGCTGTTTGCAGGATCCCACCCTCACCAGCTGTTAGCATCCCAGCAAGTTCGCTATCATGTAGCACAATGTCACATGGAAAGCTGCTAGTGCGAGCGACGATTTTCCCATGGAAATCAACAGGTCCCTCGAGGATCCTCGCCTCAACGGTGCCCTCCACCGCATTCCTTACAAACGTGTAGTTCAAATCCAATGTGCTGTGCATGCTGACAAGTTTTTCGGTTTGAACCTGGTATTTCGGTGGATATGAGAGTCTTTTGATGCCATTAATCTCCATTAAGCCTTTGCTAACTCTCTCGTCCTTCACCTTTCTACCATTCACATCCTTGACCTTCAGATCAACTTCAAAGATTATTGAATCACATATCATCAGTCCCCTCTTCGAGCCAGTCAAAACCAACACATCATTCTGCAAAGGAAGTTTGATTAAACACGGTGTTTATTTAGCTCTGTTTCAATGATAAAAGAAGGTTATCAGAATAGATTAATTGCAGTAGCATCCCGATTACTGCTAGAATTAATTGTAGTATTGGTGGTATTTAAAATCAACACTAATTGTATTGGGACTAGTCTTCTTAGATAGTACTTGGTAAAATGTGAACAATTAATATAGCCGTCTACCAGGTTCATTATTAAAATAGGAGTAATATACAAAACATAAAACCATCTTTTTTCTGAAAAATACATATCAAAGAATGAATGGTGTTCCTGCATGAATAAATTCGTATAACATGATGCAAACCACAAGCAGCAACGAAGAGTTATTCACTTGACGAGTAACATGGTTGTGTGCTTCTGTGGCCACGAGGAATGAGGAAACAAGTGCATATATGTCGCAATTACACTTGGGGTAAAACTGGGGAAAAAAAGCTGTTGGATTTACCAATCGGGGTTAGAAACAATAATACCTTGGAGCTGATGTTCTGGCAATCGTCCTTGGCACGCTGGAATAAATAGATGCGTTGGCGATCAAGACTGTCCCTGGCCATGATGGTGCCGTAGACATTGAGCGGGTATCCATAGTCGGAGGAAGAGATCCTGACCGAGACAATATTTGCCGAGTTTCAGAACAGGAACCCCCCCTCTGGGAAGACCCTGTTAGTATTGTGCATCGCACCAACAGGTGCTGCCAAAAGAAGAGGAAGAATAAATTATGAATGAGGAACGAGGAATGAATCAAACTAGTCCTCAAAATTAGTTGTCCATCTACTCAGCAGTATCTACTAGCAGAGCTAGCACTAGTCAGTTAGGCAAAACATCATATAGCAATGGAGCATCATTCATATTCAGTTAGGGTTAGGCAAAACATGGACTATGTATGCACATATAAGGGGCGATTTGCATTTAAATTCAGATCAGACACACAGCTAGAAATAGGTTGCCAAACTAAAAAACAAAACTACCCACTGTCGAAAGATGGGAAGGGAAAAGGGGGCGTACACTCCATGTCGAGGTCGAGCGTGGAGTGCTGGAAGCGGGTGTAGACGTAATCGCCTTCCTTGGGGTCGTAGTCGCTGAACCTTGGGTCCAGAGGGTTCGCCCCCTTGTCTTCCTGCTCTTCCTGCTGCTGCTGCTGCTTCTTCCGAGCCCGCGCTCTCGCCCTCCCCTCCTCTCTCGCCGTGGAAGAGGAATAAGAAGAACCGCCGCCGCCGCCGCCGCCGGCCATGGAAGGAGGAATCGAGCTAGGGCTTGGGGCTCCCAGAGGATTGGATCGACTTCTTTTTTTTTTCTGGGAAAAAGGATTGGGTCTAGTGTGGAAGTGGGGAGCGACCCGACCCGACCCCGGGCGCCCCTATTTGCCGCGTGAGGCGCCCCCAGTCGCGACACCGCCGCGCACCCTATTGGGCGGCCCATGAGCGGGCGGGGCGCTCCCTGTTTTCATTTTCGTTCTTATTAATTTTCCTTTTTTAATTTTCTGTTTTTGTTTTATTCTAAGTTAAAAAAATTCGGGACTAAAACAAGTTATAAAACTTTCAAAAATTACGAATTGTTATAAACAGTTATTGAAATCAAAAAATGTTCACAATTTAAAAAAAATGAACATATTTTAATTTTAACAAAAAACTATTTTTGATGATCACATTTTTATGAGAATTTTTTACTAAATGATGAACAATCTTCTATATTTGATGAACAAAATTTTAATTCAATGAACATTTTTTGAGCTTGATGAACAAATTTTGTATTAAAGATCATTTTTTTTTAAAAACGATGAACACATTTTGAATTTTATGAACCTTTTTTGAAAATATAATTAAAAAATTTAAATTCAATGAACAAACTTTCCATTTGATGAACATTTTTTGAAAACAGTGAACAAAAGTTGAATTTGATGAACATTTTACTAGATCAATGAACAAATTTTGATTTTTTATGAAGAAAAAATTAAAGTTGATGAACATTTTTTGAATTGTTGCACTTTTTTACATGGTTGAACATTTTTTGAATTCGATGAACAAGAGAATAATTTGAACAGAAGAAATGCAAAAAAGTGATAAAGTAAAGAAGAAGAAAATAGAAAAAGAAAAAGGAAAATATAAAAGAAAAAGAAAAAGGGAACCTAAAAGGAAAAAAGAAAGAAAAAAGAAAGAAAAAAAGAAAACAAAGAAAAAAATAGAAAACAAAAAAGAAAAAAAAAAGAAAAACCGGTAGAAAAAACGTAAAAAACAAAAAAAATGGGAAGGTTGTAGATACCTTCCCAAAACCGGTGGGGATTAAACCGCAAATGGGCCAATAGGTGCATACGCCGGATCGGGGGCTCTAGGGGTGCGCGCTACATCACTCCAGCGCGACCTACGTAGGAGCTCCCTCAACCCCTCCCCCCCATATATCGCCGCTCCACATCGGTTGTGAGCGAGCACTACTAGGGAAAACCTTATAGGTAGAGGTTTAACAATAGCGCGAGTCAGAGGCACACGCTACTGCTACTTTACAGTAGTGCGGGTCAAGGTACACGCTACTGCTGTCTATTTAACAGTAGCACGTGAGTGCCAAACATCGCTGATGCTAAGTGGTCCCCACCATACTCACCAGGCTACGTACAGTAGCAGCGCAGCTTAAAAGACACACGCTACTGCTAAATAGATATCATTAGCGCAGGGTATAGACCCGCCGCTGCAACTACGGTTGCACTGTGCCACCTGATGGGCCCTACTTAGCAGCAGCGTGGGCCACAGACCCCGCGCTACTGCTACTGCACTTAGCAGTAGCGCCGGACATGAACTCGCGCTGCTACTAAAGTGCAACAGCCACCTCCCCCCTCCTCTCTCCCTCACTTGCTTCCCCCCATTACTACTAGCTAGCTTTGTTCTCTTTTCCTTCTCATATCTCTCTCCTTTATTGCCCCCTCCACCATCTCCATTAATGCACCCCTTTCTCTTTTCCTCATTTTTCTCTCCTCCCTCCATTCGTTAGAGCCATCTCCTTTTCCAACTAGCAAGATCTACCCATTTAATGAAGGGACTTATCTACCTCCCCAACTAGATCTATCCATTTAATGAAGTAAAGCCATCTTGGTCCACTTTCGATCCCTAGAGGTGTGTAGCGACACCGACCTCATCACCGTGCTCGATCTCTCTCGAGATAGGTGAGTAAAAAATTGTGCTTTGCAAGAATGGAAATGTGTGTGTGTGTGTGTGTGTGCACGCACGCGATATGATAGAAATTGTGCATGTGGCATGAGTTGGCACCTATATGTGTATTTGCCGAATTGTGCGTGACATGAGAGTTGCCTATGTTTCGCCGAAATGTCAATTTATTTCCGTTTCAGAAAATTTCGGGCAAACTCTATATGTCCTAATTTTTAGGGAAGGTCATACAGAATTTTTGTATGACTTTGATGCATGCATGCATGCGTTTTTATAATCCTTCTGCTTATTATACCGAGCATGCGATCATGAAGGTCAGTGGAACGATGGTCGAAAGATGGTTGCGATCTGCAGTGCACGACATGTATGAAAATAACTGGAAGGAGATTTTATGTCCGTGTCGAAGATGCAAAGGAGGAGTCTGGCTCGACCCCTTTAACGAAGGCCGTTTGAAGGCGCACCTGCTCATGACTAGTTTCATGGATGGCTATATTCGGTGGATAAGTGATGATGATGAGGACGCCGATGGGGCAGCCAATGACGACATGGGGCTAGACGAAGAGATGACCAATTATGGCGGCGGAGAAGAGGCCGGACATGGCGGCGGAGAAGAGGCCAGACATGGTGGCGGAGAAGAGGCCAGACATGAAAAAGAAGACACAGACAAGCTGCAGCCTTCGTCGCTACTAAGTTCAATCGTGCTTCGCAGAAAATGACTAGCGACAGAGCTGCTTCTAGAGAGGAAGCTGCTACCTCTTGAGCTTGCGTTGGATTTCCCCGAAGACGAGAGGATGATGCAGCAGAGTAGCATAAGTATTTCCCTCAGTTTTTGAGAACCAAGGTATCAATCCAGTAGGAGGCTATGCGCGAGTCCCTCGTACCTACACAAAACAATAGCTCAACGCAACCAACGCGATTAGGGGTTGTCAATCCCTTCTCGGTCACTTACGAAAGTGAGATCTGATAGATAATATTTTTGGTATTTTTGACATAAAGATGCAAAGTAAAATAAAAGGCAAAGTAAAAAGCAAAGCAATAATAAAGTGATGGAAGATTAATATGATGAGAATAGACCTGGGGGCCATAGATTTCACTAGTGGCTTCTCTCAAGAGCATAAGTATTTCTACGGTGGGTGAACGAATTACTGTTGAGAAATTGACAGAATTGAGCATAGTTATGAGAGTATGTAGGTAAGATCATGTATATAGGCATCACGTCCGAGACAAGTAGACCGACTCCTGCCTGCATCTACTACTATTACTCCACTCATCGACCGCTATCCAGCATGCATCTAGAGTATTAAGTTAATAAAAACAGAGTAATGCCTTAAGCAAGATGACATGATGTAGAGGGATAAATTCATGCAATATGATAAAAACCCCATCTTGTTATCCTCTATGACAACAATACAATACGTGCCTTGCTGCCCCTTCTGTCACTGGGAAAGGACACCGCAAGATTGAACCCAAAGCTAAGCACTTCTCCCATTGCAAGAACTACCAATCTAGTTGGCCAAACCAAACGGATAATTCGAAGAGACTTGCAAAGATAACCAATCATACATAAAAGAATTCAGAGAAGATTCAAATATTGCTCATAGATAATCTTGATCATAAACCGACAATTCATCGGTCTCAACAAACACACCGCAAAAGAAGATTACATCGAATAGATCTCCACGGGATAGGGGGAGAACATTGTATTGAGATCAAAAAAGAGAGAAGAAGCCATCTAGCTACTAACTATGGACCCGAAGGTCTGAGGTAAACTACTCACACTTCATCGGAAGGGCTATGATGATGATGTAGAAGCCCTCCATGGTGGATTCCCCTTCCTGCGGAGCTCCAAAATAGGCCCCAAGATGGGATCTCGTTGATACAGAAAGTTGCGGCGGTGGAATTAGGTTTTTGGCTCCGTATCTGGTCGTTCGGGGGTACGTAGGTATATATAGGAGGAAGAGGTACGTCGGTGGAGCTTTGGGGGGCCCACGAGGCAGGGGAGCGCGCCCTGGGGGGGGGGGGCGCTCTCCACCCTCGTGATCGCCTCCTGGCTTTCGTGGCGTAGGGTCCAAGTCTCCTGGATCATATTCGGTGAGAAAATCACGTTCCCAAAGGTTTCATTCCGTTTGGACTCCGTTTGATATTCTGTTTCTTCGAAACACTGAAATAGGCAAAAATCAACAATTCTGGGCTGGACCTCCGGTTAATAGGTTAGTCCCAAAAGTAATATAAAAGTGGAAAATAAAGCCCAATATAGTCCAAAACAGTAGATAATATAGAATGGAGCAATCAAAAATTATAGATACGTTGGAGACGTATCAGGCATCCCCAAGCTTAATTCCTGCTCGTCCTCGAGTAGGTAAATGATAAAAAAGATAATTTTTGATGCGGAGTGCTACTTG